TTCGTCGAGGGTGAGTCCAACGACCTCCATGGCACAACGGGTCTTCTGGTACTCCACGGCACAACCCCACGCACCCCCTCCACACATCCCGCACCCTCCCCCCATACAGCCCCCCCACGCACCTGTTCGTCAAGGGTGAGTCCAACGACCTCCATGGCGCAGCAGGTCTTCTGGTACTCCACGGCACAACTCAACCCCACGCACCCTCTACACACACCCCACCCCCTACACACATCCCGCACCCTCCCCCCATACAGCCCCCTCCGCACCTGTTCATCGAGCGTGAGCCCCACGACCTCCATGGCGCGGCGGGTCTTCTGGTACTCCACGGCGTTGGAGTCCTTGCCTGGTATCTCGTAGCAGTTGCTCTGGTTCAGGTAGTGGTACGTCTCCGCTGCCCCCAGCTTCAGCCGCGCCCGCTCCTGCTCCCACCCACCCCCACCGCCAGGGTCGGAGAGAGAGGGAGACGGACGGACGGGTGGACGGATGGGCGGATGGACGGACAGCGCGGGGAAGGAAGCACGAGAGCAAGGGGCGGGCGGGTGGAGGACGGGTGGGGAAGAGGGGTGGGGTGGGGTGGGGGCGGAGAGGGATTAACGGGGTGCAGAGTGGGGAAGGGGGGAGCAGAGATGCAATGCCGTTTGCCAGAAAGGGGAGAGGGGGTTGCGGAAGCAGCGTGAGTCGAGAGAGCAGCAAGGCAGGCACGCGGCAGCCAGCAGTGGGGGGGGGGGGGGGGGGGGGGGGGGGTGGCTGTGAGGAGTGGAGGCAAAGCACATCAATTGTGAAACACAACACTGTGCAATAACGCAACGCACCTCTTCAGAAGCACCGCAGCAGACTTGGTAGAATGCGTGGTAGTTGCGCTCAGGGTCTGCTATCTGCACCACTCTGGACCGCTCCAGCAGGTACGTGCGCACCGCCGCCCCCGATATGCGCCCCGCCCGGTCAAACTGAATCTCCACAAACTTGCCAAAGCGACTGGTAGAGGGGGAGGGGTGGACGAGGGGTTGGGGATGGGGGAGGGGAGTGAGGAGAAGAGAGGGAGCAGGCTGGGAAAAGGGAAGACGGGGGACAATAACGAGAAAAAGGGGAGGTGAGAAAAACGGAATGGAGGGGAAGAATGGAGGGGGGGCGAGAGAGGAGGAGAGCGGGCAAAGGAGAGGGAGGGTGGAGAGAGGGGTGGTGACGGGTTATGTGGAGGAGTGAGCTTGCCTGGAGTTGTTGTTGCGTACAGTCTTGGCATTCCCAAAGGCCTCCAGTAACGGGTTTGACTGGCAGTGACGCATGCACGCACGCAGACAGACAGGCAGGCAGGCATGGGAAAAGGAATCACGGTAACACAGTTTGAGCAGAGGACAAGGCGCATGCAGCAGTTTGAGCAGAGGACAAGGCGCATGCAGCAGTTTGAGCAGAGGACAAGGCGCATGCAGCAGTTTGAGCAGAGGACAAGGCGCATGCAGCAGTTTGAGCAGAGGACAAGGCGCATGCAGCAGTTTGAGCAGAGGACAAGGCGCATGCAGCAGTTTGAGCAGAGGACAAGGCGCATGCAGCAGTTTGAGCAGAGGACAAGGCGCATGCAGCAGTTTGAGCAGAGGACAAGGCGCATGCAGCAGTTTGAGCAGAGGACAAGGCGCATGCAGCAGTTTGAGCAGAGGACAAGGCGCATGCAGCAGTTTGAGCAGAGGACAAGGCGCATGCAGCAGTTTGAGCAGAGGACAAGGCGCATGCAGCAGTTTGCAGGAGTGCGCGTGCAACGGGTGGTGGTCGACCAGACACTGACATGGGAGCATGCATGCATGCATGCACCCTTCTGGCACACATCTCCAGGCCTGCCATGCCATGCCATGCCATGCCATGCCCATGCATGCACAGACAGCATAGCAGTGCGAGCAGAGCAGGTGTGAGCAGAACATGGGTGCAGCAAGCATACACAGTCCTCAAGGTGACTCAAAAGGGGACTTCAACGCAAAGGCGCACAGACCTCAAGGTGACCTTAGAATGGGGTTAAGAGGCAAGGCAAGGCAAGGGCGCACGCACCTCAAGCACTTGGGACTCGATGGTGCGGCCGTCAGAGGAGGCGCGGCCGCCCATGTAGGCGAGGTACTGCATGATGAGCTTCGTGGTCTCCGTCTTGCCGGCTCCACTCTCCCCACTAACTAAGATGGACTGGCTCGCCCCATAGTCCACCATCGCCCTGGATGGGGTTGCGAGGGGGGGAGGAGAGGAGAGGGTAAGGGATATGGAGTTGAAGTGTGATGAGATGAGCTTGGTGGTCTCTGTCTTGCCGGCCTCGCTCTCCCCACTAACTAGGATGGACTGGCTTGAACCATAGTCCACCATCGCCCTGCTTGATGCCCATGCAGATACACACGGATATGCACACAAGGATATGCACATGCACATGCACGCATGCGCACATACACAATCACACACATGCATGAACACAAGCACGCACCCATACATACACGAGCACACACACTGCACCCAGGCACGCACATATGCACACATGCATACATGCACTCGTACATACATGGATGCACGCAAGTGCCGGTGCGGCACACGCACATGCATGCACACACCACTGCAAGTGAGCCCACGCATACATGTGAAAGCAACGTCACATATGGAACGTCACGTCACATATGGAATGACATAGGCAACCCGCACACACATACCTCCTCACCACACAATCCCATCCCACCAGCCCTTCATGCGTTTCCACCACCCCAATGCACCCACCCACAATGCCACACAGCACGCTCATGTGACAGTCTGCAACCACCCACATTGCCATGCACATGGGCCTCCCTCCCTGCCCACCTGCATGCAGCCTCTGCCATACCCCGCACATGCAGCACCAAGTCTCCCAGGCGCATGCCCTTTAACCGCCGCACTCCACCATACACTCATTGCACATGTGCAGCTGTGACAAGTCAACCCCGCCAGGTGCACGCTCACAAGTAGACACACTAGCGCACACACAAGCACGCACACACAAGCACACACACTAGCGCACACACATGCACACGCACCTGGCCACCCACCCACCTGTACGCAGCCTCAGCAATGGCAAAGACGTGTGGGGAGAGCTCGCCTAGGCGCGTGCCCTTGTACTGCTCCATCATCTGCTCGTCGTACAGATGCGGCAGCGCACAGAACGGGTTGATCGCTATCAGAATGCTCCCCGTGTACGTCTGTGTGGCGCGCACAGGAGCGGGAGGGAATGGGGGAGGGCGGGTGGGAAGAAGAGGGAGTTGGACGGAGGATGGTGGGCAGGTGGAGCAGAGCAGAGCAGATAACAGTGTTTGACTGACCGGTGTGGCATGTGGTGGTGGTGGATGGGTGGGGGTTCCGGCAGTGGCAGCACGGCAGGGGTGAGTGAGCGCAAGTAGCAGGGCAACAGCAACGCACGTTGAACCACTGCAATGCAGCACCACGTGCTCGCTCGTTGCACCCGTGCAGCACTCACAATAAGTGCACCCCCCATCCCACCAGGCTGGTGTGTAGATACTAGATTCACATCACACACCAGGCCAGCACTGCTAATAGCAGCCAAACCCCACCACTCCTAGCGCCCCCCTCCCTCGCATCTTACCCACCCACCCCCGGGACCATCTGAAAGCAAGCACTGCACTTCTTATGACTGCGCACGTGTATCCAATCAACAGAGACTCACAAGAAGAGGCCGAGATGGATGATTGATTGAGTCGCCCAAAGAATCAATTCTTATCACTACGCACGTAGATCTCGTCTATGGAGTATCTCAGGAAGAGGTTGTGAACTTCTAGTCGGCTAAAAATCCATTCCTTACAGTGGAGTGGAGCACTGTGCGGTGCGGAAGGAGCACCTGTGGCAGAAGAAGGTACGCTACGCACGTAGATCTCGTCGATGGAGTATCGTAGGAAGAGGTTGTGCAGCACGCCCGGCTCGTGCAGGTATGATAGCTTCGTCATGTCGTCCACCCCACAGCTCGGTGCGTCCTCGTCCCTCGGGTGGCAGTGCTTCAGCCGAATCACGATCTGAGAGGAAGGTTGGGGAGGGTTATAAAGGAGAGGGTAGAGAGCACAGGTCAGAGAGAAGGGAGAGAGGGAAGGTAGAGAGGGAGAGTAGAGGGGGAGAAGCAGAGAGACGAAAAGGGAGAGCTTAAGTTGAGCAAAGAGGGGGGTGGAAGAAAGCAAGCGTGGCCTCTATGCAAATTGCACTGCTTCATGGCTGCCACCCGCTGCCCGTGGCCACACGACACAACGAGCTCCAGTAACCCAGGAGCGCAGCACGCTGTGTGACTGACGTGTTACTGCACCGGTTGCCTGCCCCCCTTGCCTCACCTCCTTGCCCTTGCACCTGCATGCGCCTCACCTCCTTGCCCTTGTAGCTGACAGTGACTTTCTTCTTCTCCACGGCTGTCACCACGGCATCCACCCATGCCTCCTCTGGATCCTCCACCCACACGTGCGACCCCACCACCACCACTGACGGCGCCTGCTCGCACCCCGGGCAGAGGGGGGCATGGGGGTTTGGGAGAGCCGGAGGGAGGGAGGGTTGGGTGGGGAGGAGGGCAGGGCAGTGGCGAGATGGTAAGGTAAGGATGAAGCATGCAGGGGAATTACTGTGAGAGCGGGAGCAGGGAGAAAAGGCAGGGAGAGGAGGGGGTGGGAAGGTGCGTCTCCCTTCCTCTCCTCTATCTTCGACACACAATTGGACTCTTATGGACTCATGCTCGCACTGTGGCCCATGCTCGCACTGTGGCCCATGCTCGCACTGTGGCCCACGCTCGCACACCCTCCCTCTTCCTCTCCCCTCTCCCTCTATCCTCCCAACCCCTTCCTCCAACGTATTCCACCTTTCCCACCTCCTCCTCTTCCTTCCCCACTCTCACTTCCTGCTCGCTCCTCAGACTACCGCTGATAATCCTCCCGACTTCCCTCAACTTCTCCGTTTTCCCTCCTCCCGCTGTCCCTCCCCACCCTCTCCCTCGATGCATATCGCATGCACGTTCAGCCATGAAAAACAATTCGTTTGTCCCCACTAGATCCCCCCCTCCTCCCCTTCCTCTCCTTCCCCATCCTCTCAATCTCCTTTCCAACCCTCTCCTTTTCCCTTCCTCTCCTATCTCCTCCTCTCCTTTCCCCCACTCACCTTTCCCCTCCTTTCCCTTTCCCCCCTCTCCTTTTCCTCCCTCTCCTTTTCTCCCCTCTCCTTTTCCCCCATATCCTTCCCAACCTCTCCTTTATCCCACTCTCCTTTTCCCCCCCGTATCCTTCCTTCTCCCTCTCTCCTTTCCCCACTCTCCTTTTCCCCCCTCGCCTTCCCCTCCCTCTCCTTTCCCCTCCTCTCCTTTCTTTTCCCCCTCTTCTTTCCCCGTCTCTCCTTTCCCCTCTCTCTTTCTCTCCTTTCCCCCCCTCTCCTTTCCCCCCTTCTCCACCCTTCTCCTTCCCCCCACTCTCCTTTTCCCCCGTCTCCTTTCCCGACCTCTCGTTTCCCCCCCTCTCCTTTTCCTCCCTCTCCTTTCCCATCCTCTCCTTTTCCCCCCTCTCCTTTCCCCCCTCTCTTTTTCCCCTTCTCCTATTCCCCCCTCTCCATTTCCCCCCTCTCATTTCCTCCCCTCTTCTTTCTCATCCTCTCTTTTCCCCCCCTCTCATTTTCCCCCTCTCTCCTTTCCTCCCTCTCCTTTTCACCCTCTCCTTTCCCCCCCTCTCCTTTTCCCCCTCTCTCCTTTCCTCCCCTCTCCTTTCCCCCCCCTCCTTTCCCCTCCTCTCCTTTCCCCCCCTCACCTTTCCTCCCCTCTCTTTTCCTCCCCTCCCCTTTCCCCCCTTCTCCCTTCCCCCTCTCTCCCTTCCCCCCTTCTCCCTTCCCCCCCTCTCCCTCCCCCCCCCTACCCTTCCCCCTCCTCTCCTTTCCTCGCCTCTCCTTTCCTCCCCTCTCCATTCCCCCCCTCTCCTTTCCCTCTCTCTCCTTTTCCTCCCTCTCCTTACCCCCCCTCTCCTTTCCTCCCCTTTCCTTCCCCCACCTCCCCTTTCCCCCCTCTCCTTTCTTCCCCCTCTCCTTTCCCCCCCTCTCCTTTTCCCCCTCTCTCCTTTCCTCCCCTCTCCTTTGCCCCCCTCTCCTTTCCCCTCCTCTCCTTTCCCCCCCTCTCCTTTCCTCCCCTCTCCTTTCCTCCCCTCCCCTTTCCCCCCTTCTCCCTTCCCCCTCTCTCCCTTCCCCCCTTCTCCCTTCCCCCCCTCTCCCTTCCCCCCCTGTCCTTCCCCCTCCTCTCCTTTGCTCGCCTCTCCTTTCCTCCCCTCTCCATTCCCGCCCGCTCCTTTCCCTCTCTCTCCTTTTCCTCCCTCTCCTTTCCCCTCTCTCCTTTCCCCTCTCCTTTCCCCCTTCTCCTCTCGTCCCTTCACTACGCCCTCAACAATACCTCGTGTCAACCCACGTCACCACCTCTCCCCCCCACCTATCCCGACAGCTTCTCCCCACCACCTTGGCCCTCGTGCCTGCACCCGCCGCAAGCACGCAATCGACCTAGACGCACCGGCGCTGCGCCTACTTACTCACCCACCCTCCCGCGCGCCGGCGGCTGGCCTGGCAGCGCGGGGGGTAGCATCGAAGCGCTCTTGACGCGCGAAGCTTAAAGACTAATCGCACACGAGAGGGCGTAAACGTTACGATGGCTCTGCCCGACGAGCGACAGGGCAGACGAGAGCCGCAAAAGTGGACTAGACGGCACGAACGCACGACGGCACGAACGCACGACGGCCGCACAGAGTCGCAAGGCCGCGACGCGTGGATCGTCACAGCACGCGCCCGCGTGATCTAACGTTTAAGCAAAGAGCACGCACCATTCTCGCCGCGTGCTGCCAGTGGCGCCAGCACGAGGAGTTGGAATAAACGCGACCACGAGGCGGCTTTCAGTCAAACGATTCGAGCGCTGGCCTATCGCAGACAGTATCGGGACGCATGCAAGGCGCAACGCTGATTCGGGTTGTTCAAGGGGTTGGGCTACGCCATAGCTTGGACCGTTGAGCAATGCAAAGACGTAAACTAGTCTGGTGGAAAAAGGCAGGACGGACGGAGTCGTGTGCTGTCGACTCCGTCGCAGTCGGATCCGCTATGTCAGTCTCGCTGATAGGCGCGAAGTCTACATTGTTGGTATTATCAAAATCATTCTAGCCCGTGAACTGTGTTGTACGGTACGCCATGAGGTCAGATGCGCAAAAATGATATCAAATTCTCCTTACATTCTCCTTACAAAAAGACAGTAAATATATAACTAAATCCGATGGTCAGAGTAAATTTTGGCCCTGAAATCAGAGGCGAAAGAACAGCCTGTACCGTAAGCCCTGTAGGATGTGAAGTCAAACATGTGATGTTACATACCGGTACCGGTACCTGGAGTTCTGTGAGGTGTTCACGTACATCGTGTAGCTGTAAATGTTGCTATTATAGTACCAGAAAGCGCATGACCATCACCCCGCCAAACAGTCTCCCTCTGTATGTACGGTACATGTACGTCATGTCTGCAGATGTGCCTTCAAACGGTCAATTGACAGACTCCTTATAGTACAGCTTCAGTTCTACGCATAGCATACCAGTATGGTTGCCTGCAAACAAACTCTTCCTAGTACAGTTTTTTCAGTGTCTGCACGCGTGCCTTCTTGGCGGCATGCTTCAGTGCCTTGGTCTCTGTCTTCTCTCGGAATCGTGTTACGATATGGAATTGTTGAATAAACATTCATGAGTAACGAATCCTTAACGCGAAGATGACTGCAGCGAGGACGAAGATCGAGCGACAAGACAGTTATCGAAGAAAGTTTACAAGCAGGAAGAATTCGAAGTGCAAAGCGCGGGAAAACTTCAAACGGTTACCGAACCGCGCACGGTTACCGAACCGCACGGTTGCAATCTGTCAGAGGTCCACTGGTGATCCCCGATTGATCCTAGGGAAGGGTTACAGGCTACTTGTCCTGGGGGGTTATGGGCGCACTGACCCGCTACTTAACAAGCCCTTTTATCCCAATGGTCTAGTGGTTGGGATTCTGACATGGTCCTGCATCTAGATTAGCCCTTATGGGAATGTACCCCCTCAGAGTACATGGCTAGCTAGGACCTTTCGTATTCCACTGTATTCCTATATAAACCCGTCTTCCGCATTGTATTAGTCACTTCTGTCGAGATATAAATCTCCTTCTACTGACAGAGTCCGTACCCGACATTACCAAGCAAACCTTCCGCTGCTACACTCCGTGCGATCAACCTGAGACGATCCTATAAGACGGTTCAGATTCTATCATGGTATGAGAGCCACTCAGGATTCTTCGCATCACCACCTCTGATTCAAATTCAAATTCAAGGTGGCGTTCGGTACGTGCTCCCGCCGAAACATGGCTGGAGGATCTGGCGGACAAGCAGCTCCCACTGCTGAAGCCCCCGCCAACCCTACCGCGAACTCCGCGGGCAACACCACTATCAGCAATGCGCTTCTGGAGCAACTCATCCAGCGCATCACCACGCTGGAATCAGGAATTCAACAATTGCAGAGTGGTAACCCGGGCACCTCGCAACAACCCGATCAACCGGCTGCTCCAAGGAACCGAGCCCAACCACCTTCGACCTCGGGTGGAACTCTTCCGCTCCAATCGCTCCTCGTCCAAGTGACGAAGTCATGCTCGCTGCTCAGAACAAGTTTCTGACGTTCTCCAAGATTCAAACTAGCACCGTGTTTAGCGGGCGAGATTTCTACACCTGGAGTTTCGAGCTTGAGCTACTTCTCCAAAACGCGCAAATCTTCTGTTACTTCGACGGAAGCTACGCTGGTCCTAATAGTGATACTTGTCAGAATGAGTGAAGTGGTTGAACTAGAAACATTGAGGGTACAAGTAGGAAACCCTAGAGTATTGTACCCCCTAAAGGCTAACCCACTGTAGCCTACACAGCAGTAATATATATAATGTTTGACACACCCCCATAGGCGAAGTGGGGGAGAGCAAGGGGTCACAAGACCAGTCAAAGCAAAGCAAAGCTAAACAAGCTCAGGGTGGATCTCAAGGATACCACACAAATTCCGAGCACAAGCAAGCGGTCACAAGACCAGTTCACATGCAGTTTGATAATATAACAAGAGGTACAGTGATCACAACCTAGCAAGTGTAAGCATGCAGGTATATATATCGAGATCACAGTACAAGCAGAGTCAAGAGGTGAGCAAGTGAGGGACAGTAGGCACAAGGCCTAGAACAGTACAGAAACGCTGATGATCACAAGGCTGAAGCGCCTTGGTGAACACATCAGCAGTGTTGGCCCGAGTGGCCACGTAAGCAAGACGAAGCTGACCACGCTGCTGCAACTCTCGAGCAAGGAAGTAGCGCAGAGCGATGTGCTTCGTTATGTGCTCCAGTCTGTGCTCCTGACACAAGGCAATGGCGGCCTTGTTGTCGACGTACAGCACTGGAGGAGAACGAGGCGGCTCTCCCAGATCGGTCAGCAGGTAGGTGAGCCAGCGTAACTCCTGTGCAGCCATGGCCCCTGCGTAGATCTCAGCCTCACAACTGGAGCTGAGAACTGAAGACGAGCGTGTAGAACGCCAAGAAACTGAACCAGAGCCAAGGCTGAAGGTGTAACCCTGAGACGACCGCTGCGTAGCCTGGTCGTCAGCCAAAGAAGCGTCTGAGTGCCCAGTGAGGACAACGTCACTCCGTCCTCCAAGCACAAGCCCCATGCCCGACGTACTGCACAAGTAGCGCAACACCCTCTTAGCGTCATCCATGTGCTCCTTCCGGTGACGGCCAGGAGCGACATAGCGTGCTAGGATGCTAAGAGGGTATGCAAGGTCAGGTCGAGTGCAGGTCATCAGGTACATGAGGCAGCCCACAAGCTCTGGATACGGGCCACTCGGCTCTACGGACTCATCCGAAGGCAGAGCTGAGAGCGAGTGACCGGTAGGCAGAGGAGTGGGCTGAGGAGTACGTGAAGCGGAAGCGCTGAAGGACCTGCTGCACCATGTGTGACTGAGTCAAGGTGATGGTGCGCTGTGCTCTGTCCCGGGTGATCCGCAAGCCAAGATAGCGTGTCAGCTCACCCAGGTCTGTGCACGTGTGTCTCTTCTGCAGCTCCGACTTCACGTGGGCGAGTGCCTCAGTGTCAGCAGTAGCAAAGACCAAGTCGTCTACGTACACGAGAACGTAGAACGGCGGCAGAGTGGTGTCGGTGCGTAGAAACAGCGACGGGTCAGCAGTAGAAGGAGCAAACCCAAGAGCAGCAAGAGTAGTCCTCAGTGTGTCGTGCCACTCACGGGGTGCCTGGCGGAGACCGTAGACTGGCCGCCGGAGGCTCCACTGGGTACCAGCTGGGAACGACCCAGTGAAGCCAGGTGGGCGGCGCAGCCAGATCTCCTCGTGCAGGCTGCCCTGTAGGAAAGCAGTGCTGAAGTCAAGAGAGTGGAGCTCGTAGTCACGCTGAGCGGCGACGTGCAGCAGAACCCGAAGAGTGGTCATCTTCGGGGTCGGGGAGAAGGTCTGGAAGAAGTCAACTCCCTCTCGCTGACTAAAGCCTCGTGCAACGTAACGCGCCTTGAAGATAGGCGGAGAACCCGGCGGCCGTTTCACCCTGAAAATCCACATGCCACTGACGATGTTCGCCCCAGGTGGGGGAACCTCGTCGACGTAGGTGCCTGTGGACTTCCAGGAAGCCATCTCTGCGTCCATGGCTGTCTGCCACTGAGAGGAGTAGGGACCCTCTATCGCCTCTGCGTAAGAGCGCGGGGTCGGGATGTCTGGTGCATCCGGGTCTCCCTCAGGGGCGATCAGCATGGACACGAGATGAGGTAAAGCAGCGGCAAAGCACTCAAACTCCTCCTGTCTGTCCTCAAGGACGTCCGTGCCAAGAGCACACTCACCCCCGACGAACGGAGGACAGACAGACTCAGACTCAGCAACAAGGCTAGCGGCGTAGTCTAGACGACAGGCGGCAGCAAAGTCAACAAGCTCAGCAACTAGAGCAGACGCAGCAGTGGACTCAAAGGAAGGGTCAGTGACAACAGTAGCGAGAAGACGCGTGACAGTAGGACTGGCAGCACGAGCAAGGTCTGACGGCGGGTCAACAACGTCAGGAAGAGAGGACGCAGGAGGAGACGGCAGAGGGACACGCTGTGGAGCAGTGGAAGGACGCAGAGTCATATAGTGAGTGCCAAGTACAGGAGGAGGACGCTGACGCGGAGCACGACGACCAGTGCGGACAGCGCGGACAGACGACTCTGGACGAGACTCAGGCAACTCAGGACGAGACTCAGGCGACGCAGGACTAGACTCAGGCTCACGACGCTCCGTAAGACCTCTAGTCGGCCCAGCGTAAGGAGAAGGACCAGGCAGCGGAGAGGCAAGCGGTAACTGTGACTGCGACTGGACAGGTGGTGGACTCAGTAGGGGAGGAGAAGGACCAGTGGAGGGCGGGAGGCCAAGAACCTGCTGAAGGAGCGGAACGTAGTACGGTCGCGGCCGCTCAGCACCTCCTGAACCAGCAGAGACAGCACCAGCACCCTCAGCCCCAGGGTCTCCAGCGACAACTCCCGCAGCACCACCAGTAACCCCAGCAGCTCCAGTACCTCCAGCTCCAACCCCCGCAGCAGCTCCAGTCCTAG